AAATCTCAACAAACTCAACAACCAAAAAAAAAAAATCATCAAAACAAACATAAATCTAGTTAACTCTAATTTTAAAAACACTATTACAATAGGGCCAGAAATGGCCAAATTTCAGTAAGGTGTGGCAACTCTGAACAAAATGGAAACTGCTGACCTATTACACAGGGAGCAGTAGAAGAATGAAGTGAGAAGCAGGGGGTGGATGCCACTGTCTTTGAGGTTAGATTCCAAACTCAAAGTGACCTTTATAAATTGCAGAAGTGATCAGAAACACACACACACACACACAAATTCAAAACGGCAAGTTTAAATAAAACATCTGGGGCGGGAAAAATGTGGTGTTTCCCCAAAGGTAAGGTAAGCAATGACTCTTGCAAATACTACAGAAAAATGTCTTAGAGCATCATAATAGCTGAAAATTTAAGAAAAATGACTAAAAGTAGTTGTTCAGTTGAACCAATGTTTATTGAGTGCCTATTATGGGGGAAGAGGTGGGGACATGAGAATAAACACATAAATGAAAAGACACAATCCATTTTCTCAAGAAGCACACACTAACAATATGCACTTGGAGATTTACTAAGCGTTTCTGTGTACATGGGCTCATTTGTACGTGAGATCAAAGCAGTGTGGAGAGTGGACAGGGCACTGGATTGAGGACAGCATGAGGATTCCAGTCTCAACTCTGTAACTGGCTTCTGTGACTGTGGACAAGGTACCTGATCAAACTGAGGACTAAAACAGTACCAATATTCCAAGGTCACAAGACCAACTGATAACAGACTTGGAGTAGAATTCTGGCCTTCTGGCTCCTAACCCAGTGATCTTTCCAAAATACTATACATACAGTAGACTGAGGAAGAAAAAAAGAGTGGGGAAAAAAAGAAAATGCCTTTTGGTTTCAAAGCATTTGCAGAAAAAGAGAAGAAGACAGAAGAAGGAGAATCAGGAAAGGGTAGGAGGAAAATGAAAGACGCCATGTGTGTCAGAGTAGACTGTGCTCCATAGAGTTTTCAATGACTGATTTTTCAGAAGTAGATCGTCAGGCCTTTCTCTGAGGTGCCTCTGGGTAGGATCAAACCTCCAACCTTTTTGTTAGCAGCCAAGCACATTAACTGACTGCACCACCCAGGGACTCCTCAAACATATGAAGTTCTTCTAAAGAGACAAAAGGGACCCATTCTGCCTGGACAAGACAAGAAATGGCATTACACTCTATAGCTTTTATGTTAAACCTGTTGCCGTCAAGTCGATTCTGACTCATAGTGACCCTACAGGACAGAGAAGAACTGCTCCATAGGGTTTCCAAGGAGCAGCTGGTGGATTCCAACTGCTAACCTTTTGGTTAGCAGCCAAGCTCTTAGCAATTTTAAAACTCCTTGAAAGTCAGGAAGGGTAAACAGAAATGGGTGACTAAGGTTAAGTTCTTCCTGGAAATTATTTAAAATTAAGAAGGAAAGACCCCACACTCCATATACACACCTGAAAGCAGAAAAATGGACTTAATTTATGGGTTCCAATCAGCTTACTACAGAGCCCTAGTGGCACAGTGGTTAAGTGCTTGGCTTCTACCCAAAAGGTGAGCAATGTAAACCCACCAGCAGCTCCGCAGGAGAAAGACGTGGCAGTCTGCTTCCATAAAGACTATGGCCTTGGAAACCCTATGGGGCAGTACTACTATTCTATAGGGTGCTATGACTTGGATTTGATTCAAAGGCTATGAGGTAACCAGCCTACTGTATCAGAATCACCTGTAGCCCCTGGGGAAAAGAAAAAAAAAAGAAGACACAGATTCTTGGACCTACTATATCAGAATCCCTGGATGTTGGGCCCAAGAACCACTCCAGCTGATTTTGATGCAGCCAGAACACGAAGCTTTGTTCTACCACAATAATTCTATGGAAGAGGTAAGGAAAGAGATCATTAGGAATGGCATCAGAGAGTGGGAACTAGATCAATGCAAATTTTGTGGGCAAAACAGAATTTCTGTGGGTGTGATATTTTTAAAATGTATTGTAAGGCTGGTCTGACGCATCCAAGCATATCCCACTGAATTTAAACATTCTCTAAAGGTCCTGAATTCAGCAACTACAATCCAGGTGAACCCAAATCTGCTCCTCTGTGCCATAAAAAGTCTAGAGAAGAGGCAGCAGAGTGGAAATGGGACAGAGATGTTAAGAGGATGCGGGTAAAGATTTTTTTTTTTTTTTTTAATCAAAATACCAGGAAAAACAAAAGAGTGACTAGAAGTAGTTACTCTCCTGCCCACGCCCCCTCCCAAAAAAGGTATCATAATCCAGAAATAATTTTTAGAAGGAAATATGGAACAAGAAAAAAGAAAGGGAAAGGAAAAATAGTTTTAGGGTAAATTTCATCTCCAGCTGAAAGAAAAAAAAAGTTGCTCTTTGTGATTTTTTTAAAAAGAGAAGAATTTGGCTGAGAAATTATCCAGCAGGCAGCAAAACCAGGGAGTCACTTCCCATTGCAAAGCAGAAGAAAACAAGGAGCAAGGGGTGGTCCTGGGTAGTTGTTTAGACAATCAGACAGATGGGTTGACAGCTCCTTGGCTTAGGAACTCAGTGATGTTTAAATTAACAATTGGCCATAAGCCAAATACAGGAACACTGGAAAGGTTGGAAGGGTGTGTTATAATTGGTATCTCCGTAAAACACAATGATAACAGATTGAGAAGATCAAAGAAGCCTTCGCTGTTAGAATCTGAGGCGATTTAAGACTTGTATCAAGTAACCGGCTTTAATCTCTTCTATGGAAGTAGTTCCGCACCTGAAAAACACTTGTCTAAAAATCAAAATGTCTAAATCTTGTTCTTTGAGCTAACTTGACTAACACTCAAGTTACCTACCTAAAAGCTAACAACAGCAATACTTCACCAGTACAGATGCATAAAGGAGGATACAGCTCAACGCACTGAGGTCCTAGATGAGACATGCCCTATGTGTCATGGTCATTCTATCTCTGACATCAGTCTTATAATTTAACACTTACTTTTGCAAATGATTTTACAATTATATTTGTTATTCCCTACAAATCTCTGAAGTAGGTTATTCCTTTGGTCCTATTTCATAGGTGAGGGGACTACAGATTATGAAGATTATTTACTGAAACAAGTTAATGGTAGACCAGGTTTGTAACCCTCAGACTAGCCCATTATTCCTACTACTCTCTATCTTAGATCTACACTTACACTAATGTTTTCAGTCAAGGAAAAAGGAAAGACAAAAATACCATCATATGCTTTTTTTTATTAAAAGCTTTAGAAACTACAATCATGGTTCATCATCACACAGCCTCCTGGTCCACTTCTGAAATTCTTAGGGACTTAAAGGTATATGGAACTTGAATTTCCAAGAAGCATCTGGTGCTGAATAACCCAGTACTGTATCTTTTAGGTGATAAATAGCTTGTTGTCTTTTAAACATCTGTGACAGAACATCCACTACCTGTTGACAATGAACAACGACCAACTTTTCCTGAAAATCATCTTAACCTTTTCTTTGAAAAAGAGACCATGCTCATGTACTAGGGGTTTTCTGATTGTGTGTGTGTGTGTGTGTGTATACATATACGTACATACATATATATGTGTGTGTATATATATACATACACATAGAAAGGTAAGATCTTTCTTAGATTACATTCAGTAAAAGGTGTGCCCCTTTCCATTCAATAAACATGCCCAAGACATCATCCTACTACAAGGAGGGAGATAGGGAGTACAGAAAGAATAGAACACAGCCCATTCCCTGAAAGTGCTCTCCAAACATCTTTTGAGTGCCATAGGTTTAATTTACATTATCTTAATTAATCCTTTTAGCTGGGTAATTTCATTTCCATTAAATTACTGATGAGCTCACATAGAAGAGCCAAGTTTGAACCCAGGATTAGAGGGAGAGCAGGATTCCAAAGCCCAGACTCTTTCCACTAAACAGTCTGAAGAAATTTAGAATCTGAGATAGCAGTGGGATGATTAAAATATGATTCAATTTCCTTTCCTTGGTCCAACTGTATTCAAAACGACGCTGCAAATATCCAACCATAAAGAGGCTTTCTAAGGAGGCATTTTGAATCAACGTATCCACTTTTCCTCACCCGCTCCTGCGCCCTCCCCCCATCCCAAGCCAAAAGAGCAGCCAATGTTGCTGCCAAGTTGGAGGAGTTGGTGATCGTCACACCACATTCCAGGGTCTGGACACAGACTGAAACAGCGCCCGAGCTCCGCGCCTCGGAAAGAATAACAGCAGTTGAGATTTTTAAATCATGTGGCTCAGCATGCGGCCACGCCAGTTTCTCTACTGCTCCTGCCACCACCTTTCAAAGACGCCAGCAAAACACACCCGACTCATCGGGACCATCCGGTTGGAGTGTCAAAACTCGGGCGCATTGCAAAATCCTATCCCCACCCAAAAACCCACTCACCCACCCAGACTGTGTGCCTCCCTTTGGCAAAGCTCTGCCTGACTGTGAAGGTGCAAGCTGTTGGGCTTGGCGGCCCTGCCCCCGCTTTCTCCACGCCGGAATCTGGCATTCCTCTGCTTAGCCCAACTGCAATCCCCGGCTGGCGGGGGTTCGCCTCGGTGGGTCTGCCCTCGCCTCTACCCTGAGCCCAGCAAACGCGGAACCAAAAGGGCAAAACTGCCCAACTCCCCTAACTCCAGAACTGGGAAATGAGAGTTTCTAAGACTTGCTGCCCGGCTTCCTCTGGCAGAGGAGGCGTGTGTGGGGCAATGGGCCGAGGGGAACAGAAGGCGGAGGGTAGCGCAGGGGAGGGGGCGCCTGGAGAGGGGGGCCTGATGATGTCCAAACTTTCGGGAACCAAGTGGCCTCACTCCGCTCCGGTGGCCAAGCCCCGGCCTTTTCCTGCCCACAGCGGGGAGGACGAGAGTGGAGAAGGAAGGTTCGCCCCAGGTGGCCCTGGCCAGGGCGGGGGCGGCGGTGCGCGGTCCGGCGCAGGGGACAGCGCCCCTTGGCCGGATACTCACCATGCGCGGGGGCCGTGCGGCACAGCCAGAGGGCCAGCAGCGCCCATAGCCGAGCGGGGCGCAGGGCGGGCATCTTCTCGGTCGCCTCCTCCGCCGCCGCCGCCGACTGGGCAGATCCACATGGGGAGGGGGTCCCTACAAAGGAGCCCCCACTTTCTCCTTCCCTCCTGCTTCTACGGTTCACAGCCTCGCGCTGCGCCCTGAAGCTCAGGCTTAAATGTCTCGACTCTCTGCACCCCAAATCAGCAGCTGCTCGGCCGCCGCCTCAGTCGCCGCCCGAAGTTTGGCTGAAACTTTCTCGGGTGTGCAGCGAAACAACCTCGTGTGTCCTTCCGCCTCGGCCGCCTCCTCCCACCGCAAAGCCCCGCCCCCCTGTCGCCGCGGCCTTGGCCCCGCCGCCTTCAGCACCCAGGGGTTTCCCGCAGGAAGAAGCGCCGGCCAAAGCTCCGCGCGGAGGGATCTACTATGACTCGTTAGACATCACCCGCCCCCAGGCCCCCACACAGCCAACTCTCCCAAACCCGCGTCGGGTCCGGACGCGCCTTAACTCAATCGAGGCTGGAGCGCCTAGCTGGGCCGCGCCTCTTCTGAAGGGGGTGGATGTTAGGACTCTGAACTTCAAACACTAGGGCTGCCGGGACCGTGAACTTGGAGGGAGAGACAGACCTCATCTAGTGAGACAGGTATCACCCCCACACACTCACGCATCCACGCACCCTCTGCTAGCTAAAGGAATGCGGTAGAGAGGGACCAGTGCTGTCAAAGAAGGAAATGGGGGCTAAGGCGCCAAAGCCCATTTTAAATGAACAAAACCATCAACTGAGTTGTGTTGCACCATTTATTCATTCATTCATTCAGCAAATATTTCTTAAGCGCTTTACTTTGTGAAGCAGTGTGCTAGGCATAATGGAATGATAGCAAAGACTCATGATGTACAAGCTACTCTGAGTTCTGAGGAGAGAGACTGCTGCGGGCTGGAGGTTCCAGAGAAGCCTCTCATGTAGGAGTTGGGAAGGGAGCAGGATCTTGAAAGGTTAGTAAAATTTGTATAGATTAAAGAGACAAGCTAAGAATAGTCTCGCAACGTTGTAACAGCCAAAAATTGGAAACAACTTAAATGCCCACCAATAGAGGAATGGATGAATAATGTATTACCATATTTATATTTATAAAATGAAATGCAATACAGCAGTTGAAAAGACTAGATTCATATATGTCAACAGGGATAAACCTTAAAAACAAAATGATAGTGGAAAAAACTAATTGCAGAGAAGACAAAGTATAATACCATTCATATGTATGTAAATTTTTTTCAAAACATGGCTATATATTATTTATAGCAATAATATGGATGCATATGTATATATAGTAAAAGTAACCAGAATGGTGGTCACTTCCAGAGCAGAAGAGTGGGGGATGTGATTAGGCATGGGTCACTATATGTAAGAAAAAATCCTTGCCGCTGAGTCGATTCCAACTCATAGAGACCCTGTATGTAAGAAGGGGGCTGGAATTAACCAAAAAATAGTGTAAGGAGGGTAGCATTCCAGGGGAGAGCCACCCTAAAAGCAAAGACACAGGCAAGGGAATAAGTAGATGAGTTCCAACATTGTTAGCAGTGAGGGGAGCAAAGGAAGAAATGGTGGGTTGGGCCCAGATTATACAGGGCCATAGAAAACCATTGAAGGTTTTTGAACAGGGTGAGACTTGATGGAAAGAAAGGTTGCTCTGATAATCCTGTGCAAAACCGATTGTTGGGAGCAAGAGGTGAACTCGAGCCCAAGGACCAGTCAGGAGTTTGTGAAACAGTCCAGGCATGGGGTAATGAAGGCCTAAACTAATGAGGTGGAAGTCACCACAGAAGAGAAAGGATGGATCCCACTGTCGTCAAGTCAATTCCAATGGATCTGAGGCAATATGAAAAAAAAAAGGAGGGGGCAAACCTATGGGACTAACTCAGTGTGGGAGTTTACAATCTAGTTGGGATGGGAAATCCTATCCACAAAGCCTCTCCCTGGTTCCTATAGGATAAAGTCAAAACTTTCAAAAAAAAGGCCTTTCCCTCACTGTACTCCTGCCTCGTCTCCAGCCTCATCTCCTCTCATCCCTGTCCCTCCCCCTGCTTTGAACTTTACAGGACAACAGTATGTATTGAACAACTTGAGGCTCCCCAAATGTCCATCAGCAGATGAACGGATAAACAAAATGTGGTACATATGAAAGGAATGAAGTTAGGATACATGCTAAAACATGAATGAACCTTGAAAACATTATACTAAGTGAAATGTCAGACACAAAAGAACATACATTATCCCTCTTATATGAAATATAAAATAGGCAAATACAGAGAGAAAAAAGGAGTGGTTACCAGGGACTCAGTGGAGGGAGGAGTAGGGAGTTACTGCTTTTGGGGTACGGTTTCTTTATGGGGTGATGAAAAAGTTTTGGAAATGGATAGTGGTGATGATTGCACATGGTGAATGTAATTAATGTCACCGAATTGTACACTTAAAAATTGTTAAAATGGCAAATATTTTGTAATACAAGCTTTACCACAATAACATTAAAAAAATCGGGAAAGGCAACTTCTGGAAAATTGAAAGGAAATGGAGTAGATGGCAAAGAGAAGTAGACCACCCAAGGCCTGAACCTTGCTTTTTAATCTCTGTACCTTCTGTTCCCTTGGCTTAGAATGACACTTAGAGCCTCCTTCCCTCCCCCACTTGGTGAACTTCTCATCATCATTCGTTCTTCAGTCCCTAGCAGGCTTTGCCTACACTGTAACAAATTCTACCCCTCACAGACAGTGCCTCCTCTATACTGCTTTCTTTCTCTTGCACATTATCTATTTTTCTCACAGGACCGCTTATATGTCTGTCTTCTCAAGCAGATTAGAAGGTCTTTATGGACACAGAGTCCCTGGAGAAGGACATCGTGCTTGGTAAAGTAGAGCGTCAGTGAAAAAGAGGAAGACCCTCAACGAGATGGATTGACACAGTGGCTGCAACAATGGACTCAAGCATAACAACCATCATGAGGATGGCACAGGACCAGGTAGTGTTTTGCTCTGTTGTACATAGGGTTGCTATGAGTCGGAACTGACTTGACAGCACCTAACAACAACAAAATGGGCAAGGACCAAGGCTTTATTCATCTGTGCATCCCCAGTGTCTATCACGTAATAAATGTTGAACTAAGAATGGAGAACAACACTAAACAAGTGCAAATCAGTATGAGCAATAATACGCCTATGAAATTCCAAACTGTATTTTAATAACCACTTTATCACAGATAAGCAAGTACTATTATTAAAAGTAGTCACCTTGGGATGTTAGAAACGCTTTTCAAGAATAGCATAGTCAAAATAGTTTTGGAATTTCTCTTGTGCAATTGTGTTCAGAGGAAGATAATAACCTTAATTTTTAGTTGTTCACCCAGATCAGTATTTCCCAGCATGACCATCCTCTTTACTCACTAAATATAGTTATATGACTTGGCTATACACAGTTTTTTAAAATCACCTGCTAAGATTGAATATGTCACTATTAAAATATATTCAGAAGAATGTACTCTGATGGTAGTCATTGCCAAAGAGCAGCTCCAGAAATGACCACAGCTATGACAACATTATTAAAATAGGTGTGCAATTTCTCAAGGTGACTATTTTAAAGAAAGCAACTATTATTTTCACATATGACTTATGTTGGATATTTATAATGTCAAACTTATTGCATATGTTCCCACAAGGGCAAGAGGAATAAAGAGTAAATGTTATAAATGGAAGTAGAAGGTTTTGACTGAAGAGATAATTTTGAAAGGTTTTGACGGAGGCCAGTGGTTAAGAGCTCGGCTGTTAACCAAAAGGTCGGTAGTTTGAACCCACAAGCCGCTCCTTGGAAACCCCATGGCGCCACTCTACTCTGTCCTATAGGGTCGCTATGAATCAGAAGCAACTCGATGGCAGTGGGTTATTTGTTTGGGCATAGACACAAACTGGTAAAAAAAAATAATAATAATAAATAAAGATAAATAAGGAGCTGAAAATAGAGGGAAGAAACTGGACTCTGCAAAGACTGATAGACAAGTACAAGTCAGTCAACCCATCAACTAGCATTTTAGTGAATGTTTACTGTGGGCCAGACTCTGGGAGTGGTTGAGGATGTAGCCATAAGGAAAGAGAGACACACAGTCTGACAATTAAGATCCAGTGTGACAAGTACAGAGTGTTGTGGGTTCACAGCTGAGGAGCTGTGAGTCTTAACCCCAGCACAGGAGTGGTCAGGGAAGGCTTCCAGGAAGAACCCAACAGCTGGACTAAGCACTGAAGGTTAATTTAATCAGGTAAAGAAGAAGAGGAGATTTCTCATGTTTAGAGGTTTAAGGCAGTTCCAGGTATAGGGAACAATATGTATAGAGGCAGGTAAATAAAACAAACCAGAACCTGTTCCCTAAAATGGGAAGATAATTTAGGCAGAGGCTGTGAGAATGCAGAGAAGATGGGCATTGGCCTCTAAGACTAGTGACTGCTTAGATGAGAGAGAAAAGGCAGATGGAGGAATCAGCAATGCCTTGAGGTATCATGGGGCTATTCCCTAAGTGGTGCAAATGGTTAAGCACTCAACTACTGACCAAAAGGTTGGTGGTTCAAACTCACCTAGAGGTGCCTCGGAAGAAAGTCCTGGTGATCTACTTCTGAAAAGTCACAGCCTTGAAAAGCCTATGGAGTGCAGTTCTACTCTGCACACATGGGGTCACCATGAGTTAGAATGGACTCAACGCAATAACAGTAACTGGTTTATCTCAAAATAGAGGAAATGGAAGAGGTTTGGTAGAGAAGATAGGTAGGCAAGAAATCAATATAACTAGGCAGGCGGGGGAGGGAGGAGCAGACAGAAAACTTTTCAGGAGTAACAATGTGGCTGTTGACTGAATTAAGGAGAGCTAGAACCTGGAGTCCTGGTCATACAGTTGTTAAGAGCTTGGCTGTTAACCAAAAGGTCGGCAGTTTGAACGCAACAGCCGCTCCTTGGAAATCCTACGGGGAAGTTATACTCTGTCCTATGGATTTGCTATGAGTTGGAATCAACTCTATGCAACAGGTTTTTTTTGGGGGGGCTTTTGGTAGGAGCTGATTAGCAGGATGGAATGTCACTGAAACATGCCTTCTACTACTGACCTCCTCCCAAAGCTAAGCCTAAATTCCACTGTGTGCATTTAGCTGAATATTTCTGATTCCCATTAGAAACCAGGGGGACTTGCGCTGGTGTCTCACAACTTGAGTAGC